CTAATCACTGAATCACAGAGCTTGAAGATATATCCTGTGGTAGATCGCCGCGTCACTTTACATCCCGCAAAGTCAGCATCCACCCAACCTTCTAAACCTTTCCCCACTTCTCCACCAAGAACTAAACCGTACTCTCTTGTCTTGAGAAGATAGGCAACTATTCGTAAAGCAAGTTGCCACTGAGTTTCCAGGGGAGCAGCACTAAACCGTGCTAGAAAGTTTGTCGCAAAGCTGATGTCTGGCCGAGTACATGCCGATGTCCACATCAGACTTCCAATAGCGGCTTGGAAAGGGGAAAGAGGGGCGAGTTCATCAGTTTCACTGATTGCTGGTTCATCGTGATGCTGAGTGGGGAGAGGAGCTGTCATTGGACGATGTTGTGAATGACCCGGAAATCGAGAAGCGACTTTATCAATGTACGCTGGTTGAGAAAGATGGATTCTTCTTTTTGAACGATCTCGTGTAACCTTGAGACCAAGAATCTGCTTCATTTCTCCCATTTCCGTCATTACCCATTTTCTCTTCAGCTTCTCCATTACCCCATCAATCTCCTTATTTGTCTGCGCAGTTATGACCAAGTCATCCACATACGCCAGGAGTATCACCAGTCCACCAAATTTTTCTGCTGGTCGGACGTACATTCCCCAGTCTCCCTCAGTCCTTCTGAAATCCTGTTCTTCTAACGCTTTCCCGAGTTCCAACCACCATCCCCTGGCTGATTGTTTCAACCCATACAACGACTTCTTCAATCGCAGTACTGTCCCACTGCGTTGTCGTATCATGGCTTCAGGATGTTCCATGTAAATCTCCTCGTCAAGTACACCATTGAGATAAGCTCCCTCAACATCGGCTTGTCGTAGTTCCAAATCAAATGTAGCAGCAATTGTGAGAAGTAGTCGAAGACTTGTCATCCTACTCACTGGAGCATACGTTTGTTCATAATCAATTCCAGGTTGTTGAGAGAAACCTTTTGCTACGACTCTTGCCTTGTGTTTGACGATTTGACCATCAGCGTCTCTCTTGATGTTGAAGACCCATCTTGACGCTATAGCTTTACGACCTGGTGGAAGAAAAGCTTCTTCCCATGTTCCTTTTGACTCAATATTGTCAAGTTCCCAGAGCATAGCTTTCTTCCAGTCGTCTTTATCCTTGCTAGTCAAAGCTTCTCTAGCAGTCTGTGGTCCATCAGACGGTGACGAATTTGCTTCTTCCATACCCATCTCTGACGCCATAGCAGATGCTCTTGTCGTATTGCTATACCATTTCTCCACAAGGTTTGCTTGATATCGTACTTCACCAGCAATTCGAGCACTACGTCGGGTAGGAAGTACAGGTGGAGGAGGTGGTGGTGCAGGAGTAATTGTAGGAGCAGGAGGATCAGATGTTGGAAGAGGAGCTGCCGTGGGAATTGTTGGTTCTTGAGTAACTTGAACATCATTCCCTGTCTCCCTCTGTCCTTCCACACCGTTGTCATACCTCTGCTCTGTCGCTCCACTGTTCTCCCTCACACTCACTGATTCTGGTTCTTCTTCCAGAGGTTCAGTCACGACCTGAGCTGGTCGTACAGGAGGTATCATTCCTGAGGAAGGAAGTGTTGCCGGTAAAGTCATAATAGGACGTGGAGGAGGATTGGATACTGAGGCCGTGGGAGGAGTAATGGGTGTGATCGTCTTCTCTGGAGTTAAGGGGTGACCTGAAGCACTCTTAACGTCCCTGCTGAAAAGCATCTTTCCATCACTCTCCATCCTCACATACCATCCACTCTTTGCTGGATCCATTCCTACGACTCTTCCCAATTCTCCCTTGTCAATATCTAACCTTGACTTTCCTCGTACCTCTCCAGGGATCTGAACAAATACCAATTCCCCAAACATCAAAGCGTTCTTCAGATTTGGGTCTCTACCCGTATACTTCATCCACGCATTGATACCGTCTTCACCTCTGGTTGTCTTCATGAAAAGATAACAGGCGTATTTCACCGCCCAATCCCAGTAGTTGTTGTTCAAATTGGCTGACGCCAACATAGCCCCAGTCATCTCTTTGAGAGTTCTATTGAACCTTTCCACAACTCCGTTCAGCTCGGGAGTGTACCTAGGAGTAACTTGATGGATAATTCCCGTCTCGTGGTACCAAGCACCCGCTGGTCCACTGGCAAATTCCAATCCACCATCACTTCTAATAAACCGTACCTTCCCTCCCGTCTGTCTTTCCAACTTGTTGACAAAACCTTTCAGGTGAACCAATACGTTCTGCTTGTTAGGCAGAGGTATTACAGATGCTATTCTTGAATAGTCATCAATCATCGCCAAATAATGTCGATTTCCACCAATGGATGGGTCAAAAGGACCGGCCAGATCGACATGAACCGTCTCTGCATCTGCCTTCCCCCTGGGACTTTCTTTCCCCTTGGGTAACCTTGTTGCCCTGCGAGCTTGGCAAGCGTCGCATTCCTCCAGCCTGAACGTATCCTGTTCCAGCTGCTCCCTCGAATAACGTAGCAGTCCATCACCTGCTAGCTTCAGGAGTTTCTCACGACCAATATGTCCTAGTCGTTTATGTTCCTCTTCCAGAAGACTTGTTCTAGCTTCGATTTCATTTACTTGAGGTATTTCAAAGCCTTCTGGTTGAGATGGATTGTGGTGAACAATCCCCATCTGGACAAACAGGAAATTTCCCCTTCTCTCGCCCTTGATGACCAAGCCGTTTCTTGACAAAACCTTGTCATGGAGGTCGACTTTCCACCCCTTATCTATCAAGGTATACGCTGAAAGATAGTTCCTTGTGGCTGAGGGTTGATAAAATACGTCTTGAAGTTTGATTCCTCTTCCATTGTTGAGACGTAAGACAATATCACCGGTATAGGAAGCGACCATTTTACCACCGTTAGGAACTGAGAAGTGAGCAGGTGAGGTAAGTTTCTTGAGATTAGTGAACAGATGAATGTAAGGGGAGACATGGTGGGTGCATCCGCTATCGACAAGGAATTCAGGAATGGAAGAAGGTGTCGACGAATTGTCTTTGCCGATAGCTCCTATTTCAAAGTCTTCCAATCTTGCTTCCCCAGCGTGTCTTTCCCACTTCCCTTTACCCTTCACCTTTCCCTCGTCTTCATCCTCCTTCTTTGGACAATCTTTCTTCATATGTCCACCTTGCCCACAGTTCCAACACTTAGGTCCTTCCTTATCACCTTTAACCCTACTATCTTTACCACCCACACGTCCCTTCTTTCCCTTGAACCCAGGTTTTCCCTTCCCCTTTGCACCGTGCTCCAGGGAAACCTTCTGCATCGCTGCATTCACCTCTCCAACTATATCACCTTCACCCCTTGCTTCCCTTCGAGCAATCTCTCCCTGGTACATCTTCCTAACATTATCCCATGTATGAAGGTAGCCGGGTTGTTGTTGGAAGATACAAAGAGCAATGTTGAAGTCGGTAGCACGAGTGAGAGAATCAAGGAATAGTTGAACACGAGTGTTGTCTGAGAACTCACAACCGGCATGTTTGGCTTCGAAGAACAAGGAATTGAACGTGGTGAGATGTTTGACGAGATTGTCGACAGAGGAATTGGACGGGAGGAATAAGGTACGAAGCTTTCTTTCTATGGCTGAACGATGTTGAGGAGTACTTATCTTCATGTCGTTCTCCAGCCAATCCCACATCTCCTTCGCTGTAGATAGCTCTTGAATCTCCATCAAGAGTCCCCTATCCACCCTAGCTTGGATGACGCCTTGGGCCCTAAGCTCCCTCTTTCTCCATTCATCCCACCTCTTCATCTCGTCTGTCCCCAATGTCCTGGGACCGTCCATCTCATCCTCCCTGGGCGGCATAGACCCCGCCCTCATGTACCTTGCCACCGAGAAAGCACGATATGGTTCAAGGTCGGTACCTTCAATGATGCCAATGCAGCCGACGATAGTAAGGTGAAGTCGGGCTTGTGTACTCCACGCATAGTAGCCGTGGGCACTGGAAAGAATGGGAATGGTATCAAGTGTGGTTCCCGTGTATTCGCTCATATTGATGTACGTGAGCTTCGTCTTCTAGATCAAAAAATAGACTCTCAAGAAAGACTTATCGTGCGCTAGGCGAGTACTACGATGTAGTAGCCGCCACCAGGTTGGACTGGATTTCCTTCTACCGGCAAGCCCGTAGGTATGCGTCTCAAAGACGTTCCCGTTGCAGTAAACTGACAACTGTCCTTCGCTCCCTAATATCCAACCAATAACACCCTTTACCGTCTCCTATCTATTCTTATCCCGTCTAGATTTATCACCGTACTAGTACCCAGTACTAGCACTCCTAATGTCCCCTCCTATCGATAAACACAATAGTTGATAATCGATGTCGATAGTCGATAAACGATAGTCGACAGGTACGCGCGATCCCCCCTCGGCCCACCACCTATCACTGCTTCACCAGAACAGCGCGGGTACCGTTTGGGTGCCCTGACTCTCACCAGTTCCACAGTGATAGTGTGATTGACTCCTATATACAGCAACAGTGATAGAGTCCGACTGTTAATCTGTTGGTTGGTGAGACGAGAGAGGATGCATAAAAGAGAGAGAGATGTCCCGAGTTTGATCTCGCGGAGTTTCTTGGTAATCTACATACGACTCGTGGTGGCGGTACGATCAACAGTATCGTCGTGACCTCTGAACATGGGTGGGGGAGGCAGGTGGGGTCCTTTAACTTCCCTCCCCATCGACTCCATCTTCCCCATCTCCTCTCGGTCGGGCAGTAACCTACCACATATTACCCGTTTTAATGATCAACTGCAGCATCGGGGGCTGCGACAAGAATGTGCGACAGACCTCTCCTCATCTGCGCCGTCCTGATTGGTGCGAGGTATGTCAACTAACTTTCTGCACCTGGCATCAGAAAGATCCAACCGTTCATTGGTGCCCTTATATGGAACTTGGCGAGATTTTGCCCGCCAGCGCTACCCTAGCCCTTGATCAGGTATGTTCCATTTCCTCGTGGTCGGATGGTAGATTGACAATTAGATGCAAGACTGCAAAGACAAAATTGACTATCATCTCCTCATCCACATAGCTGGCTCTCTCCGACCGGGACATACATGTCACATCCCAGGTCTGGATACCTCCGGACGACTGAAACATCCTCCTCAAGGTGGAAGAAATGCTCACATACCTCTGGTATTCGACGATGATGTCAAGTGGATGGCGAGGGTAAGGATGGAAACGGGCCAATATCCTCACCGTCAAGTCAATCATATCAATTTGCTAAGCGAAGCCGCTACGGTCGAGGCTTTGTCCACAGGAGGGGTATTGGTCCCTTGTGTCAAATATCGACCGTCTTCCACCATAGGTAGGTATTCAATCATACATTGCCTATTTGACATTGACTACAAAGATCCGAGTACGTCCTTGTTTTACATCACAACTTTCGAAGAGGGCAGGGAAAAACGAGCTACAATCCGGTTCGACCTCTGTGACCCGGAACGAGAACCGCGACCAGAATTTGGTATCTCTCGTCATCGACTCATCAGAGCTCTGACGGATTGGTACATTTCACTGGAGAAAGTATCTTTCGACAAGGTAGGAAGCCTTCACTATAATTCTACCGGTGGTATCGTCGTCGGACCTGAAATAACGCGTCATCAACTATTACCAGACAGCCCATTCTTCCTGGGACCTTTCGATACCGTCAAACAACGTTACCTGGCCCTCATCGATAAGATTCTGGAATACATCGAGCAGGATACTTGGTGTACTCCTGAGAAAGTAGTGCAGGAATACCTAATACATCTCGAGGCCAGAGAGCTGGTCGAAGCATGTGAAGAAATGGACGAAGATGGTCCTTACTATGTAGTACATGGAGAACCGAAGGGAGATCATTTGTTGTTTGATGGCAATTGGAACGTGACATCAGCTATCGACTGGGAATGGTATGTCCATCTTCTCTTGCTCATTACGCTCACATAAACGATCACGAGCCACAACTCACGTTCAGGTCTTACCTCTCGAATAAGTACGAGGCTTTTGGTGCTCCTAGTTTATTCTGGAACCATGATTTCCGACGCGATGGTCTTAACGATCCATCAGCATCGGAACGAGAATATGCTCAGGAGTTCGTCAAACGAGGAAGGGAAGATCTGGCGGATTGCGTATTGAGACGAAGTCGGAAATATCAACGTTTAACTGATCTTCTTCGTGAAGGCATCAATTTCGTGCAATGTGTCAACGCAATGAAACGGGCATTTCTCGATCAATCGGATACGTACGCAGATAAGCAGCCACAGACGATGGAGGAATGGGTGATGGAACAAAAAGCGAGAAGGAAAGACGACGAGAAGTTACGGAGGTTGTTGGAGTTGGAGATGATGTGGAGAGAGGGAGATGAGAAGAGAAGGATATTTGTGGAAGGGAAGAGGGCGGCGGCGGGCATTGCATGGGTCAGGCGATCTCATCTTATGGAAGGGACTGTGGAAGAGACGATGGATAGGGTCAGATTACATGTTGGAAGATGAACTTGGTATCGTCACGAAATTCATCCAGGATACGTGAGCCCTCCAGCGTACCCTCCATACTCATCGCACTCATGTTCGATTGTCAAGTATTCTACTTGTGGCTCGCCTCTACCGCGTGTTCTAAGATGAGATGATCATCTACGGGTTAGCATGCGACGAAACAACCACAGTTGACGGACAGGTTGTAATAGATCATCATGAAGAAAAAAGAACGTACGAAGATCACAAAAGACTTCATCTCCCGGAGCGTCGCGTTCACAACAAGGCTTGAGGCTACTTCCGTACGTCTTGATGGCAGCGCAATGCTCTCCATTTCCGGAGACCTTCCAAAAGAATCTTATCATATTAGCACTGTACTATTTCACCTTTCATCATCGCCGAATTATCTACGTGTTTGTAGAGGATTTCGGGCCGCTATGCTGAGAAGGAAGAGTCGGTAGGTACGGACAAAGGCCAATGAGGGAGAATTATGCGGAGGAGGGGCAAAGAATGAGTAACAATCTCACTTAGCAAGGTTCTGTCCATTCTCTACCCTGATCTTCACTGTCTCTTCCATAACATCAATGATCTCGGACCACTTCGAGGTGCATGTGGAACACGGCGAGTTGGTAAATTCGAGGTACTTTCCGTTGCTCATGAGTTCAGCCATACTGATTGGATTACGGTTGTTAGTCAAAGCAGTGAGGTTGGGTTGAATGACATAACAACGATGACAATGTCGTTTTATACCCTCATGAGGAGATCGTTGATATTTGGTGGGACCCTTCCTGGTGGAGGGCGCAGTCGAAGAAGCAACCCCATTCCTCTGTTGACGGATTGTGTTGATGAATCTCGATGCTGATCTGTTTGCTCACTTTGATGAGAAGCGCTTACGTCGCTAACCTCGAAGCACTGGACTATGATGTCCGAAGAACATTGGGGTGGTGGCCAAGAACAGTCTGCCTTCCTGTCATCGGAGGATCAAGGCGGAAGTGGGGAAACAAGTACTGTAGGTTCTGGGCCAAGAAAATGGTGAGCTTTTACCCACTTACTGCTCTACCGCCTACTCAGCTAAGAACAGGACTCTGATAATTTTCTACCACTGAGTCGTCTCTTGATAAACTTCAATATCGATGTCATCGCTTTCCGTTCAGCACCCGGTTTCAATCCTACAGTATGGGATCCACCTTCGATCTTCGCGAACCTTCGTATCGTTCAACATCAATGTTATATTACACACACACACACACAAACCTTCAGACCGGCACCGGCCAGACACGTGTTACAAGCGACCTGCTCAGAAGAAGACTGCGGAATTCACGTATGACTCTCCCACGATACGACTGCCTCACCCTCAGACCCCCTTCTTCAACCCCGAAACCCGTCGCACCACAACTCCTTTCATTCACCCCCTTTTAACCCTTCATGCAGGTCAAAGGATGTGGAAAAAGAAAATGACAATGAGATGGTGGAGGTTTAGTCGGGGGTTGAGATCTCACCTGTACTTCTCTTCTCCGTCGAAGATCTTTGTTTATTCTCTAATCGTACTAGGAACGCCCATTAGTCTTCTTCGATTCAATCTTCCCTGGAAACACTGGACGTTCAAACCCTTCATACACTAGATCGGTATCCATTTCTACGATATCAAGAAATCGACAGCAGGGAGGGCAACAACGCTAGACGTATTTAGCCGATTTGTTTGGTAGAAAGATTGCAAGATCAACTGGTTTGATCGTCCACTTGACCGGTTATAGTACACGGAGGAGATTTTAGAGATCTCTAGAGACGAAGTGGACGTTGGGAAGATATAATATTGTTGGAAAATGGCTGGATCTAACCAAATCAAGCCCCCTCGACGAAAAAGAACATGGCCCTCCACATTCCTTCTCCTCATCCTTCTCTCTCGACGAGCGGGGGCGCAATACATCCCACCTTATTCTCATAATTTGAAAGAACGGTTAGAGCTGGCTCGACCGTTAGATGATGATGCTGCGAAGTTCGGAGGGATCAGAAGACCACAGAAGAGGGATGGTGATGTGAGTGAAAACCTTTCTCAAATCTTAATAACCAACATCATAACAGAGAGAAGATACACTAGTCGATCGACTCTCTGAATATAGAATACAGGGAAAGAGGTTGTAAAATTGAAGAGTATAAATGCTCATACACAGTCTCAAACTTCCAACAATCCTAATTTATGGTTGATCTCACATGACGATTTTTGTCTCTACGGACCTACAGATCCGTTCAATTATATCTGGAACACGGGCACGAATGTGGTTTCGTGGTGTAGCAAGGTGAGTCGTCAGAATGCTCTTTCCCAATACACTTGTATTCGAAGCACCTACTATCTACATCAAATTCATGAGATGAGGTGTCATGGGACCGTAGAGGGTTTTGGTGTGTATAGTGAACAAGAAATTGGTATAGGTGGAGACTGGAGGTAATGGAGTGAAAGATAATGATGGAGAAAGGATTGATAAAAGCTGATCCGAAGGCTGGTCACGGAACGAGGTTGATACCTGACGGTACGCTACATGGAGTGACTTACGTCAAAGCTCAGAGCTGGATGCAGGTATCTGGAACGTGAGTCTTCACATCACATAACACACACACCGCCCTTCCTCCTTCAAAGACGGCTTGGATGCTGGACAGATCTCAGTTGAAGTTGTGGGGCCGAAGATAGGGGATACATCTCTGATTGAGCACGACAAGATGTTCTTGGCTGACAATCAGTGGAGATTTCACTAAAATCAACATCGCTCCTGGTGATGCGGGAGGACAATTCGACCCGGGCAAAGCTCCTGCTGGCGCCAATGTTTACACTTCAAACGATAATCAAGCCGCGTCTTCTTGGGTTGTGAGTCATGGTTTCCTCTCGTGAAAAGTCTTCTCCCTGTTGGGTTACTTTGTCATGCTCATGCTCACGGTTTTTACCGCCTTTCCTGATTAGTCTGGAGACCAAGGCAATCAAATAGAATATAGTGATGGGTATGGTGAGGAGAAATACCTCTGGTGGACTGAACGGATTGGGGGTGGAAAAGAATAATGCTCACTTCAGACCCTCATTTCAGATTCAATCTTCTGTCTTCGAGTATGCACCAACCCTGCTTTCTGCCCAAACACTTACGACCAAATGGGTTGTTATTTCCTCCTTGGTAACTCTGTCGGATCTGATGGTCAATGGCAAGATTGTTCATCTGACGATGGTGATCCACCCGGTGTCGTAAACGGAGTCACATACACTCAAGGCCAAGATCCAACTCCTTCTCCCACAGCGCCGGCGTTGTCAGGATGTTCGAATGGTGGAAGTGTAGCAAATGGACAAACACCACCACCTTTATATAATTGGGATGGAAGTGGTACTGCTGTTCCTGCTGGACCTACTCCACCACCATCATCAGGAAACGGTAATGGAGATGGATCATCCGGAACGTCAAGTTCTAGTGATGGTGGGGATAACGGGAATAATGGTAATGGAGGAGGGTCATCCGGATCACAACCTTCTACAACTTGGGTTGAAAGTACAATTTGTACTTGTTCTTCCTCTTCTTCTTCCTCAGGTGGAACGGCTCAAGTAGGTGTCACTCAAAAATCAGGAGCGACTTCAAGTTCAGCACCAGTAGGAGATCTTACTTTGAATAAAAGGATATTTAACAAACGACAAGATAGTGAATGTTGTTCAACTACTTGGGTGGTATCTACCATTACACCTTCAAGTACGAACTCTGGAAATGCGGCAGGAGGACATACTAGTCAACAAGGTATAATACCCAGTTTGAGTGTTAGTAAAGGTGGAAGTTTAGCTCTTGCTTCTACTACAAGTGGATCAAGAGTGAGTGGAAGTGTATCTGCGAAAATATCAGGTAATGCGAGTTTGGGTTTGACAAGTGGGAATGGTACGAATTCTACTGGTGGTAATGAGACGAGTTGGGGGGAAAGGATAGAAACTCCTTTTGGAAGAAGAAGGACGTTGATGGGTTTGGTGGTTGGTTTAGTCGGGGTGATAGGGATGGGTGGATGGGCTTTGATATGAATTTAACCTGTGGGATTCAGTATCTAACAATAATACGTTGTCTCAGGCATCGACTATCTGATAGTCGGTGATTGAAACGTCTGATATGGTTGTAATCGAGTTGTTCTGCATTGCCTGTTGCCTGTCGTGATCGCTGGCCACGCTGGTTCAAGGGGAAAGAAATCAGTCACGAAATGTGCCACATTCTTCGGGAATAACGGCGATAAGAATTGGATTGGGGGAGAGTGTTGTTTGATGCGCGTCAGGCGGCGGTGCTCACACACTGTGCTCTTTCACCCTATACAACTTACTCACCTAACTACTACCACACCTCCCTTTTCTCCCTTCTCATCGTCATACCTTCTTCTCTCCATTCTCAGTATATCATTTCCAATCCTCCGACTTATCTCCCGAATCGCTGGGAAAGAGAAAGAAAGAAGAATAAACGGTATCACCATTGAACCGCCTTGACCTTCTCCGCCCCCGCCACTCCTTTCATCCTTCCTACCCAACCACTCTACCATCCCACACTCTCCACTACCACCCTTATCCTCTCTCTTTATTTGTGTCTAGACGACCCATCCCTCACACCTTCGTCCTCGTTCTGTCTCAAGGCGTACATTTTGATAACCCACCTGACCCTATTCTTCGACTCATTTCATCCCACCCCTACTCGATATCGAAGACCGGACAATAATCATGATTCTCGCCATTTGGTTAGGTCTCGGTTTCACTCTACTCCATGTTCAAGCACAAGGCGATTTATCAACCGATAATAACGTCACCAATATCGAAGGGACTTGGAGTAGTAATGCCGCCGTTTCAACAGGAGGAGTGAGTGTCGTCATTTTGTATCTGTTCGAAGGCACGAGCTGACGGTGTGAAAAGGACTTTTGTCTTCCTGCGGAAATGAAATTCACTTATCCTACAAATACCGGATTGTCTTATTCTTTGTGAGTCATGTCTCTACCCCGTAATTATGTTTCTTCTGCTGGCATGTGTATGATAGGCTTCGAGGGAATACAAAAGGATGGAAGGAGGAGAAAACGACAAGTGGTGGAAGGTGGAACAGCTAGATGTTTCACCTGAATCAGTGTAGAGTCCATCGTCGTTCAATCAACCATGGCTAGGCTGTTCAATGTGGAGTGAATCACATTTACAAAGATCGATCGGGAACAAGGCCAACGTGAAGACTCAGGGTGTGACATTGGAAATGTCGAAGGGCAGAGATAGCGTTTCCGATGGAGTTTTCACGGTCGATAAGAGGAGATCTATGATGAGAAAATGACACAGGAACTGACGCAAAGCACCGAGTCCGGATTCTTCGAGGAAGCTCAATATCGTTATACAGCAAACGCCTCGAACCCATCATGTATCCAAGCTTACATCTTATGGCAACATGGGACATATACGCTGAATGATAATGGGTCCATTTCACTTTTCCCATTCGGATCAGATGGTAGGATTCAAGTACAGGATCCTTGTGCGGCTACGACGAATATCATTACTTATTATGATCAGCAGGTGAGTTTTGAAAAGTTACTGCTTCTGTATATCACTTGTTTCCACATTTATTTTCGATACGATTTTGGCAGAACCGGGGTTGGGAAATGTGGTGGAAGTTATGGTAGAGTATGTAACTAACAGCTCAGACCTGGTTTTCAGATTGGGGAATCACCATCGATCAACAAACTGCCAATTATGTACTTAGACTGAACCGATTTGACGGTGCCAAATTACCCCCTGTACGTTGATCTTTTCCCCTCCCATTTTATCTGTTTTGTCCTCTTCTGCCCTCTTTCCCTCGTGTCGACGAACACCATCATACTCTTTATTGCGAGCGGCTATTTCGATCAAGACATATTGGGAATCAGAGCTCACATTACAGATGTATCTAACAGCTCGACCACCCAATATGGCTCCCACCCAAGTCTTGACAGGCGTCAATGTAAGTTTCCTCTTCCTTCTCACCCTACTTGAACTTATCGATGCAGGCCAGTGGACAAACCGTTCAAACTCGAAAACGGTCAACTATACCCGTGGAGCAATTGAAACGCTCCTTTGCACCAGAAAGAAGAATAGGGACCGACATGATGTTCGTCGGTCTGGTCGGTCCTCTGATCTTGGCCTTGGGGGCTTTCGGTTTGCGATTGTTGTAATTCGTATCGAATCAAATCAAATCATCAAGTTGTTGTTTAGAATGCGTCCAGAAGTGAGATTGGAGCAAAGGAGGGATGGAAGGGGAAGTGAGAGGGGACGGAGTAGCATCAAGTCATTTGGAGATGACTCATCATGATACACCTTATTGAAGGGAAGAGACGTTTTAGCGATTCAAGTTTGGACATTGTCGCCTTATACCCACGTCTTTTCCCCCTCACTTCTACTTTCACTGCATGCATCTTACGACATGACATATAGTTGAGTTTTGCTTTTTCTCGAGGTTGGTTTCATGGACCGGCTCTACCCTTTGTAATCGCTGATCTTCTCACTTGTTTTCATGTCTTCTAGACAGCAGGCGGCAATCACTCGAGTGGGTCATGGGTGTACTGACGAGATTGAAGAATCTCATGGAGCGGGGTGGGAGGATCGTAGAATGACGATTGTAAAAACTGTATGCGAGTTGTTATCTCTCTATCACTATATCTTCTCTTTCCCGTCTTCTCTTCACTGGTTGTATTCGGGCCCTTGTGCTGGTATTGCTCATAGTGTTTCCCCCCCTTTCATTGATAGCCTTACCAATCCGCCATCAGGGTAGCTCAAGACCAACTGACACCATGTAACTTATGGGCTGCTTGGCTACTTTCATCCCCTGCCACACACACGGTCAGTCATCACATCCCATCATCAGAATATCAAACTTCAGAACATGATTCTTGAAGATATATGAACAAGTCGCCAATGATTTGGTATGATTTATATGTATAAATCGTAAGTATGCATCTGAACAAGTTTACTTAGATAGAACAAATTAACAAACCGATGCAACATCAATACTGTTCTCTCCTTCTTGACGTTCCGCCACCCCTTTTTCAGTGACTACGCAACCTATCATCAGCAATTCATCCATTGATCACTCATCCTTTAAAACTACTTCACTCATGTGTGACCACTCAGATTTACTCGTAGTGGATCTAAGAGCGACCACAAGGAATTTAGAGTTTTGTCTAAAGTCGGAAAGTAGAAAAGGGAAAATGTCAAATGTGATAAACTCACTAATCAATTCAGCTGGGGTCACATCGAAACTTGGATTATAAACCCCATTCCAAGGTTTAGCGTCTTCCCCTACTCCTTCTGGTGTTATCCTGACGACTGATAATTGGCCCGTAGAAATATCACGTCCTCTGACTTGTGTTGCCTCGATCGGAGGTCTTTGTTCAATATGTATCCTACGTGTCAGTCAATCTACCGGAAAATCACCCCCAGCTCATAGATCTTCACTAATAGATACGAACTTCACGGCGCAAGACGCATACATGATGCAGGAGGGAAGGACACACAGCAAAGGGGATTGTGTGAGGAGGTAGAAAAAACGACCCACTCATTACCATTTTCCAGAGATCTATCGACGGTGGTGACAGGAGCTACCACCATAAAAGGAACTTTATGTCTTTGAGCAAGAACAGCAGCTTGATACGTTCCTATTTTATTGGCCGTATCGCCATTAGCGACTATTCGATCTGCCCCAACGACCACTCCGTCGATATCGTGTAATTGCATCAGAGAGCCTATCATGGTGTCGCCTGAGTATGAGCTCTACTCTTCATTTCTCATCCTTCCCTGTATATCCCCTCCTTTCTGTCGCAATATGATGAGTTGGTCATGACCTTGTCAGGATATGATGACCGGTATGACTGATCCGAAGAGAGTGAGGTAGAATGTAGATGTGTATATCTGAGCAGGAGTGTAAGTGTCAAGTGCCACTCACATATCATGCAAGCAGGAATCTTCAATGTGGTCAATTCCAGCGATGTCAACCTTGAACCTATATCATCAGCAGCTTTCTGAAGAGAGGACTTTTGAAGCTAACCTTGGTGATAAGGCGTCGTCTGGGCGTAATAAGCAGTATCAAGTTGACCGGCTTGGAACAATGCAGTGATAACTCCAAGTGCTGTACCGTACCCCTATACATCAGCTTTGTCTCTTCTCCACGACTCATGAGTCATTCAAGTCATAAGGAATTAAAGCATCTGTCTTCCTCCTGACGGACAGACTCACCCAACTCCTGTCCTCAGCGTGCGTACATCATTGAGCCGCCAAGGGCTGTGTCGAGATGGTCATGAAGCGCAAGAAATGGACAGAACAAAAAGTGTAGAGTCAAGGAGAAGGAAACCCACCGAAGTAGCCAAACTACCCGTATTGCACACGGTCAAAATCTTGAGCTTCTTCTTTCCCTCACGCCTATTCATCCAGAACCACATCGCCCCATTTCTCGACATATCCAGGTTCCTGACGAGATCTTCATCATGTACCGCCATACAAACCTTCTTGACCTTTTCCACAATCTTCTGAACGGCTTTATCAGGTTCGGAGGATTCGGTAGACTTCGAGTGAGTATGTCGTAGGACAGCTCGAATACGATTCATAGCCTCTGACAGATTGACAGCTGTAGGTCGGGAAGATTGTAGGTGGTCTAAGATGGGTAAAAGGTGCTGAGCGACGTTATCCGGCGTGGTGAAGGGAGGAAGGGTGGGAGAAGAGAGATACGAGTGGAGAGAAAGAGCAGCTAGGGATGCTATAGCTGGTGCACCGCGAATCTGGGGTCAGTTGGGAGACACACACGCTGCTTCTGACGGAAAGTGAGGACACGTGCGTGGTAGCTTGAAAGGTGGAATGGATGCGTGAGTGGGTGAAGAGGGATGATTTATATAATAAAAGAACTCGGGGGGATCTTGGTTTCATACGATAGCTTCACATGGGGAAAGTATGGCAAGATATAGTCGGACTCACTTTCATACTCTTTATGGCATCGTACGCTTCGTCAGGAGAATTGATAGGCAGCCATTGTACTTGATGGCTGATGGTCAGCCAGGAGGTCAAGAAGAGCTCTGCCCCAGTATCGTATAGCTGAACACTACTTCAATTATCGATGCAGAGAGAGCAGTCAAGTATGTCACATAGTGAGAGAAGACAGCTGCACGGTAGGAGAAGGAAGTATGATCCAAGAGGTATTCAGTAGCGGAGGAGAAGAAGGAAGCTTCACTCACGGTAACAACAGCTGATCCACTATCTCAATCTTTCCCTCTACTACCCTTATACTCGTCATCATCTCTGGAAGGTCATCCTTACCCATCGTCGCCATCGTGTTCTTGCGTTTTATGACTATTTCATACAAACTTTTCCTTTCCACAAAGTCAGCGGAGGATGTGATCGAGATCTATGATGTGGCATTGACCACGTGTACCGGAAGCAAATCCTTATCACATTTTTCCCCACTCGACTCTTCCCCCCTCCCCACTCTCACAACATTTACACCACACACGTCCTCTATCAAAGTCCCCTACAAACACTATGGTAGCCCTTCGTCAGCGTACGTCCCGACCATCCTACGCAGAGCTCAATCGAGTTTCTTTGGGAATCTCCGACGAGTCTATCGACGGCTCTCCTTCCGCTCATCCCAAACCTCTCCGTGATGATCCAGAATCATCTCCAGATACAGACAACACCAGCGAGTTCAATCCTGAACAAGAACAAGAACGTCGACATACTGGTCGTTCTTCTCCACATGCTACAAACCCACCATCTGCTTCTGACTCTTCTGAAGAGATGGACGATGCCTCAAGTGAAGATGACTCGAAAGAAGAAGAAGAAATAACCGACGATGAGACATTAATCGAGATCAAACCTGAACAACCTATTCGTCCTAAACCAAATTTACCAAGAACGACATCAGCACGTCTTGACGGTACATCTGAAATCGCTCGTTTACCAGCTATATACAGAGATTTATTACAAGAATCTTCTAAAAACCTCGTCAGACCTCCTCCGATGTATAAATACCTACCGCATAATATGCATAGGGTGTTTCACGTTGAGAATATGCCAGCGGGACCTAGCACACCTTATGTTACTAGACTTTCTAGTGAACCTCGAGTGAAGGAGATAGGTAAGATAAAGAGGTTGGAAGATGATGATGATCCACAAAAAAGAGAAAGAGATAGACAGATAAGGGCTTGGGAGGTTATGAGAACTTATCCGTTGGTTTCACCTTGGCAAAGCTGGGAAGGGGATGGTTATTGGCCAGAAATGTATACGGGTGTCAGGAATGAGTCGTACGTTGGTAAGAGTGGACAAGGGAAGAAGAAATCAAATGGAGAATTGAGAGGAGAGTGGATATCGAGAGAGGATGTGAGGTTGGGGATGGATGATGTGGGGAAATGGAAAATAGATGAGTTAGAAATACTCGATGAAAAGTGAGTCACCATTTCGTACATGAGAAATGTGAGCTGATTGACAGAGAAGCAGAAAGATTTCTGCCTTCACCAAAAGACAAAGAAGGTAATCCCTGGATCAGATGTCACGTGGGCTTATATCCAAATCAACATCCGGTCGACTTCAAAAGATTTGATACCAAGCTCATACGTGAGTCTACTTTTCCGATCTTATCCTAGTCTCCGACACCATCATTTCACCACTTTTCTTCATCATCCCTGTATTTACGAAAAGTTGAATCTGTTCACATCGAGCTCCTGGTATTCTCTTCCCTCAAGGCGTCTGAGCAGCCCAATGAGGATCTATAGCCTGGTGTGAATTCCGCCAGACAATATATGTAATGTGAAACGCTGAACTGTCAGACGATTATTCTCCCGTTTCTCAAGGATTCATATTCTCAGCCGGTGGTCCAATCTGGGGTCTCGATTGGTGTCCTTACCCTGAACGTCTCTCTGCCACTTTGGACTTTACTCAATATCTAGCCGTATCGACTCTTCCGAGGCACGATAGCAATCCGACTGTTGGACAAAAGTGTTCTCCAGATAGTCCTGGATGTATTCAAATATGGTCCATGATTGCACCTGATGACGTACCGTCGCTTCAACATTCTTCAGAGGATCATGAGATGGAGGATGACTCCAGAACATTTGGGAAAGAGAAGGGAGAGATGAGGTGCGAGTTGGTTTTGTGTGTCGATGGAGGTTCGGCGATGGATTTGAGATGGATGCCTTTGGGTGTATGGGATGAAGTGAGTAACTACTTTTCTGGTCTTATTCACTTTCTTCACTTTCTTCACTTTCTCACTTTCTTCTTTTTTTTTTCGCTTTCTTCACTATCTTCAAGTGACGGTGACTTCAAATGATTCGCGATGTCTGTGTGATATAAGATATATCGCATACCCTCACATGCGCTGATAGGTAGTACGAACCATCAAACACTTCCGACAAAATACCCAAACTTGGTATAATCGCCGCTCTACAATTAGACGGTTCTGTCTCTTTTTATCCCGTCCCTCAACCGCACGCCCTCCGCCGTGCCCTCCAAACCTCACAGGGTGGAGAGGTCAAAGGGCGAAGTAAAGTAAATGGAGGGAATTCGCCTTTGTATCGTGAGTTACTTGAGATGAGATTAAATCTAGTCCACAAAGCTGATATCAGTGCGGATGAAAGAACCTTTGTTAAGGATAGAAGTGGAAGATGCTAGTTGTCTCTGTATGGACTGGCTTTCCGGGAGTCGTTTAGTAGTTGGATTATCCAATGGTCAGTCATTGTTTCAATTTCCTTATCGTCCCTTTCTGTCATCTCATGTCTACTGCCCCATGCCCGATTTTCTGTCTTTCATCAGCTTTGTCTACCTGAGCCGATACCTCTTCCAAGTGCCGCAATCTACTTTGTCATGCCCATACTTTGCAAATCTCTCGTTCGGTCTCAATCTCGCGTCTCAGACTCCTCTTACTTGGGATATGGATTAACTGCTCGTTAATCGGGAATACCCAATTGATCCACAGGTCACATAGCAATATATGATCTTACCCCATCATCATTCTCTTCCCCTTCTACTGAAGTCTTCCCTTCCGCATACATACCCATCACGTGTTCTCCAATTCGGTCCGTTGCAGCTCTTCGTCTTCCCCCTGATGACTCACATGGAAAGCCACGATGGGGACAAGATCCTTTTTTCGTACTGTGTGGGAATTACGACGGAACGACTACCATAGTGGATTTGAGAGATCCGTCTCGCGCTGTAGAGCTGAGTCGAGCAAGGGGTGAGTTATCGAGTTCCATCCTTCTCTCCACTTTTTGCTCCGTTACCATCGCCACATTCACTACTCTGGATTGACATCTTACGGCCGAGAGAGATCCGGTCCGTGAATCACCCGCCCACGTGTAGAGAGGGGAGGAGATCATTGAGGAAATCGTAGATAATTGAGTATGTACGAGGTTAACTTTCAGCTCCTTCCATGAGTGTAGCATGGTCAGCCCCACTGGGCTCACCATTATTAGTCGACGTGGAACATATGTTGATATTATCCAAAATCCGAGGTTATGGAACTGGGAAAAATCATTATGTCGCACCTCATCGAGGACTTGTTTGGGTGAGTAATCGTGTCCCATTCACTTTGTTCTCACTTTACATCTAGTCTCCCTGATAAGTTGCTTCGTCACCCACCCCTTGTTCAATCTGTCCACTTATCTCTGTCACTCTCCTTGCATCAATATGTTCCATTCGCAGGATTGTCAAACTGAATGTGATAATCAACACGAATGCACATCTCGATCGTGGGACATGTACAGCTTGGGACACCGAACTGATAAGCAGCATATCGCCACGTCCGACTACCATCCTATGGTTCTGACAGCGGGGACGGACGGTTCTACCATTTTGAGTAATTACAAAGCTGGTTATCATCGTGCTCGAGGGGAGGTGAGCTGGCTTTACCGTCTGTCTCGATATATCGATCTTCACCTTTCCCCTTCTCCCACCTCCAGGAATATCGGAATACGCTTCATCAGAAAATTGTTTCGTTTGACTTATATTCCTCGCCCAGTGTTCATGACATATTTATCTGAATGATAGTAGTGGGGACTTGCAAGATTGACCCATTGAATGTGTGGAGTTGGCAAGGAATCTGCTGATGATATAGGGATTAAACTCTCAAAGGATCTTCGAAATAGATTATGATGAATATACTGAAGAATATCGTATGGTTGATAATATCGCCCCTGAGGTGAATCATTCAGATTCTCCACTTCCACTCTTTCCTCTTCACTCAATCACCGACCCCACTCTGTCTACTGGCGTATCATCCGGTCCCTCCTATCCCCTCTCCTTCTCCATGTCCCTTGTCCTCTCTCCCTCCCTACTACCTGTTTCAATCCCTACTCTATCACTGTTTCCAAATACGAACATCTCTAACCCCCAATACAGTCCAACAAACAGATAACTTACCCCAGGTCATCTCCGTCGAAGCTTCATTCGGTCGTACGGCCAAAAACGCCCGACCTACATTCGACCCCAGAGTTTCTAAAACGGTCCATTGGAGTCCTCGTGTCGGAGTGCATAGAGTGAGATGGAACGATTCGAACGGATTGAAAAATGCTGGTTGGTTCGTCAGTGGGACAGCTTCTGGTTTGGGTAGAGTGGAATGTTTGAAAGGAAGGTTTGTGAATGGGAGAGTACCACAAGGATTAGGATTTGCAGAGTGATTCTTTCTTTCTTTTTTCCCTTTTTGCTCTCATCGAGTCTTCATCTGTCTATTCTTGCTCATGTATCTATAATTTAAGGGTTTTCTATTTGTAGTTGATATATCATGTAATGATATCTCCATCTTGAACCGAAATGGTCGTCTTTTCCAGGTGTGTACTCAGGTAATCGTACCAGAGTCACGTGTGGGGGAAGAACTCTTCCAACGTTCAACGTCGTTCAATATCTCCAAATAGTGATTCAAACTTATTCGTTGCGAACTTACTCTTATCCGTTGTGACTCACTCTCCCTGCTCGTGACTCTACTCGTGATACGGAAATGCCCCTCTACGCAACAGGATCAAACTCTTCTGGTCATCTAGGTATATCTCATCAACTAGACGTATCAACTTTCACACAATGTCAAATCCATCCTACTCTCCTCGAAGAAAAACTTCAAGTAATGGATATATCTTCAAGTTCAAGTTATACTTTACTCTTAGCCCGATTAACTATCTCATCCTACTCTGCTTCCACTCACTCTGATCGTTCCAAATCACATGAACCTTCAAATCCTCAATCGCACCACACCTTGAACCAACCTTTTTCTTCGAATGGGATTAAAGAACCTTTAGATGAATATCGTAATATACTCTTAGGAGCAGGAACCAACACACTTGGTCAACTTGGTCCTCTTTGTCTTTTATCTTCTAAACCCCAAACATATACTAGATTCAAACCTGTAGACTTGTTAACTCCTTTAGGTTTGAAAACGGAAGAATGGGAACCTGTTAAGATTGCTGTTACTTGGTCTAGTTCTTTTGTGGTTTATCGTCGAATCTTAACTTCCTCTTCTACTTCACAACTTCACTCTCAACCTATATCCACTTCACACTTTCAGTCTCAATCTTCTTCTACTTCACAGCATCAATCTCAACCTACATCCAATTCACAGCATCACCATCGATCTTCTTCCACTTCTCACCACTCTGGACCTTCCGATCCAGATAGTATCAAAACTCCACAAAGACCATTCAGGTCGGACCACAACTACATCTCAAGAAATAACACCCAAACGTCCAATAACAACAAAGAGATGAATAGAAAAATAAATAATTCCTCGGAAATCCTTATAGCTTGCGGTTCAAACGATTTTGGTGAATTAGGTTATTTACCTAAATCCCAACCTGACAAAATATCCATAACGTTACCTAATACAACACCGAACATCGTGGATCTTGGTTTAGGTGAGGAAGAAAGGATCAAATTTATAAAAGGTGGACAAAGACATGTTATTTGTGTGATTGAAAGTTTTGGAAAGAAAGATAGGGTGATAGGTTGGGGTGCATCTAGAAAAGGGGAATTAGATGGGAGTATCTGTTTCGTTCCTTGGAATAAAGGTGATTCACTCCTTTCTCCAATGTCAGAATCAGAAAGAAGACGAGTCGTAGATGGAGAATCGGGGAAGAGGAAACAACGTCGTGATAGCAGTGTGATAGGAATCGACGAGGGAAAAGGAAAAGGAAAACAAATGCTCAAATCACCTTGTTCACAACCTACAGAAATACATCTACCAATACCCTCCAACGTCAAAATAGTGGATATCTCCCTGGGGGCATCACATACTTTAGTTTTGTTGTCAAATGGGAATGTGCTAGCTTGGGGGAACGATACGAAATCTCAAATCACTGGTCTCAACCCAGTGTCAAACATCAATGATTCGTCAGAAATTGGACAATCTATCAACGTTAATGGGTCAAACGAAGAATCGTCTGAGGGAGGTGGTAAAGGGACGACTACGAATGATATCACCGAAGGGGATAGTACAACAATGAATGACGCAAAACGAGGGAGTAAGATAATCGGGATAGCAGCGAGATGGACAGGTAGTTATATCTTAGATTCTGAAAGAAAGATATGGAGTCAAGGTTCTGATACGCATTCTCAACTTTTACGTTCTGATCATTCTTCTTCATCTTATCTTCAATCACCCGACGTTAGCTCTACTTCTCCTTCCTTGTCAACTGTTGTATCTACTACCCAATCCACCTCATCTTCTACTATTCAAGCCACCTCATCTTCTTCATCCTTGAAAGGACTTTCCAGTTCAAGAAACACCAAAACCATTTACGAGATCAACGGCGGGAGGGAGATTAGGGAAAGAAAGAAGACTGGGGAGGAAACAAGGACGCAAGTTTCATTACCCCCAGGTCGAGTGGAACGGATAGTAGCGGGATCGGAACATCTTTTAGTTTTGTTCGATCCATCCGACAAACAATCACACGGCTCGATGACGAATAATGACACTGAAACGGGAATTGGGATCGACCCTGTCACGGGTATAGGTAAAGAGATGGGATCAGGGGTGAAGATTGAGAGACAAACAAAGAAGGGGAAATTATCGAAGATGGATATACAAAGAGAATCGCAACTAGAACTCTGGACAGGAGGTTGGAACGAGCATGGTAATCTCGGTTTGGGACATTTACAAGATCGAGATTGTCTCACCAAAGTATCTCTCCCAGGAAAAGTTTTGAACATGTGGGCAGGGTGTGCTAATAGTTGGATATTGGTTGATGGTTGGGATTTATAACCGGGGGAAAGAGCTTGCAGTGTGTTTGAAGTAAGCATTTAGTATGTAGCAATTACTTAGTATCTAGGAATGATGTCATGTGATTAGGGATGCTCGATGCAGCTTCGGATTGCCTTGTGTAAATCAATAGAGAATTTTGCATTCCTGAAAGTTGTTCCCTATAAACTACTTAGCATGACCTTGTCCCTTGGCGTTATGCAGACTGATTCAGTACGAGTCAGAAAGTACTTTTCATTGATAAACTGACGAACCCTCTGAAAATGACTCAAGTATGAGTTGATCAAAGAAAGTACATTAATCGCAAAAAGGAGAGAGAAAAAAGATGACATCATCGCACGCAACTTTCAACTTGTGTTTCATTTTCGTACTTGATCTATCCATTCCTTCATCCTTACACAAATCATTCTTCCAAAGCCTACCATCCATCTAGCGCTCACCTCTATCTGACACGCTGAACAATATATCGTCTCTTTATCCCATCTCCAAACATCCTCAATAACCCCGATCATCAAAAGCGAAGTGAGGGTGGAGAAAGGAGAGGAATGGTAGTTATCCATTTAGGACCATATCATCCAGATACACCTGAAGTCGATATTCCAATAATTGATTATTCTTCAAGAGAATGGAGAGAAGATGAGGAAGTACTTGAATATGTATTACCACCCGTGAGCTTCTTTCCCATCTTCGGCTTGATCATACCTTTTCATACCACTACCCCAACACCTTCACCCTTTACGATCGGAAATTATATCTTGTCACTCTTTCCTCTTGAGATTTACCATTCACCTCTAGGTATTATCTCACTGTCTGTGTCTATGGCAGAATCAGTGCTTTCTCTTATTCGCTTGCCATCCTCTTGTGATCAGGTGTGTAGATTGAGCCTTGATATGAAACTGGTGGGGTGGAGATATGATACTGGTGGGGTGGAGAAATGCCACTGGTACGGTGGAGACATGATACTGGCATGGCGGGGTGAACAAATGATGACACTGGCATTGTGAAGACCTGGCACGATCTCTCGTATCGGGGAAGATGAGAGGTTCATAAGATATGAGTGACAAAAAATAGTACCACTGACGATTTAGACATCTCCCGGTCAATTACCAAATATAATATTCGGTTGTTCAGTCTTTGGATATGGTATTTACGCTCCTGAAGAAGTCATAAAATCGGATTTCCCATTACGTGTGATAAAATATGCTATGAAAGTTGGAGTGACAGCTTTTGATACTTGTTCGTATTATTCTTTCTTTTTCTTCCTTTCCCCTGTCCCCTGTCCTCTTTTCTCATTTTTCTTTCACCTCTCAATTCCCTACCCTACCCTACCCTACTCACCCTTCCTCTATTGGACAAATCAAGTCGACCCTTCTTACCTGTCCTATCTCACATTACTCCAATCATATCCCTGCTGATACTCTCGCTGGGGTAAACTTTCTCCACCTCCCACTCAACCATTGCCCGCCCCCCCCCACGATGCTAAGATGGCTCAAGGGGAAGAAGGGAGAGAGGTAAGATGGCTCAGGGGAAGAAGGGACTTTAGGAGAAGAGGAGTGGAAGGGTATAGTTGGAAAAATCCTTGATGGACGTTAATTTTTCTTTCTGGACTGATGGCATGGATTGTTCTTTAGAGTTGGATGTATAGACCATAGACAGCAAGTTGATACTTGGAAGGAACGTAGGTAATCAATAACGTATAGGGACAATTACAACGTGAGTAGATACATATGGCATTGTTGAATGAAATACAAGTCGACGATGATGGCATAAATAACGCATGGAATGATGATCATGATTCAACTAGTTTACAAGACAGTAATCGAGTATTCATTTTGGTTGTGTGAGTCTCTTTGCCGGTAAAGAATATACAGAATTCAACAATGATGCCCTCGTCCCGCGTAGCGTTGTCCAAAGGTAGAGCAAAGCCGTTTCTTGAGGGAGAAATTGTCCAACTAAAAGTTTGTATTGTTTGTATGTCGGATACTGAAAGTCAGATTCATATACCCCAGTCAAGAAGACAGAGCCGTCATCGTCAGTCACACACACTTTAGTTAAGAGAACAGTAGAGTACTCGGACTGTCATCATCAGATGTCCGAGAAGAAGGAAAAGAAGAAAGAAGGAAGAGGATGTTGTGGGAATTGAGATTAAGGATGACATACCTTACTCTGAGTAATCCATTCTGTCAAAAAGGTACTGGCGCAGAATAAGATGCTCAGCTGTAGGTCAACTCTTCTTCTTCTTTCTTCCCCTCATCTGACCTCTCCTGGTCCAACCCACCTTCACCCGCGTCCCTCCTTCCCCCCGCCAGAAAATCAAGATATCAACCGGTCGCAATCAAGTCTCATGACTCTACTATGAATGTTGAAGGGACTGGGTCCATATATTGATGTGAAGATGAAAAGAGATACTTGACATACCGCAAACGCAGGCCCGAAAACACTTCCCCCTACCCATCCAGCCCTAGTGACCCCACTACTCTCCCCAGCACAAACGACGAAAAATGCTTGGTTGAGCCAAAAGAGTTGTTCCGCCGCAAAGTTTGCATGGCGGGACCATCGGAAAAGACCTTTCGTTGGAAAGCCGGGATGATATTTTCGGGGATAGGAGGTGGGTCTTGGTTGACCTTTCCATCTATTTGAGAGTTGCTCGTGATCCACTTGCGTATCTTGAGATTTCTTCTGATCGTCTTGGAATTGAGAGACCTGATCGTTGTACCTAACCATCTTGCTAGGATCGACCATATCTTTTTTGTCGGCGGGTGATGATGATTCCAAAGCGGCATGTTTGGAAGTTTGGTATTCATACATCTCCCCATCCGCTTTGCCCTCGATGTACAGCAACCCCAATCCCACAAGGAAAAACAATACGTCCGAGATGTTCAGCACTGGGGTAGTGGGTGGTGTGTTACCTCGCAGGTTCATCGGCAATAGGTGAACCAGAGAGGAGTAAGGTAAATGAAGAGAAGGGATCATCCCAGAAGAAAGTTCGGTAGGTGGGAGTAAAAGCACGTTTTGCATAGGTAGAGTAAGAAAAAGAAGTAGAAGTGGTTGAGGGATAGCGACAGCGAAAAAATGTATAATCTCCATAAACCATCTCGGTATCATCTTTCGTAATTGAGAATAACGGTAATCTTCAGTTGTAAAATCGTAAAAACCTCTTTTGAGAGCATGTCGAGTCAACCTAATGGACCATAAAAGTTGGAGGGAGAACATGAGTAGTAAACGAGGGAGGTTGTGAATGTAGATGGGGCCGATGGGATTGATAAAGAGCCCATAAGACGACGAGTGAGGAACAGAAGGGAGGGTAGATTGGCCATATTCGATCGACCCATGATATATTACCTGTCAGAAGACCGAGAGTGTACAGGAATGGGATGAGAAGGAAAGTGGAGAGAAGGGGGAGATGAAGGGGATGAGTGGTAGGTGATGAGAGGAATGAAAAGGGGGAGAAGGGGTGAGGGGATGAGGCTAGGTGAAGAATGAGTTGTGGGGTCAAGGAGAGTATGGGAGTGGGGAGGTAGGGGAGGAATGGGAGGAGAGGTCGGATGATGGGGATAAGGAGGGAAGTGATGGACATTTGATTGAGTTCTAGAAGTTCTTCATGGATATACGGGATGGTACGGAGTATGGAAAGAGATGACAAGGTGAAAGTGGGAGAGATCAAGTATGGAAAGACGATGGGGAAGGTGGACAAGTGGTGTTGGAGGAAAAGGTGTGGTGGGCCCGGGTGGGAATCGAAGCTAGGTTCAGAGATCGATCGGGTGGCAAATCACGTGACTTTGGGGACACTTTGCCTCGCTGCTTCCTCGCCGCATCTCCTAAGTACTTTTATCTATCTACTCTAATCTGTATCACATTCCATCTACTCTCTATCTTCACTTTCGGGTCTTTGGGCGATACACATTGTATCTTATAAGAGGAGGCAACCCCCTTCACACCGACTCATTCGCCTGATCGGACATCATATCCACACACCGTCATCTGCGACTAACTAAGAGTGCCTCGCCACGCTGCTTCCATTACCCTTGTCGACATCCAACAACAACAAACTCACACATCTTCATGATCTCATAACAAATCTCTTCTCAGAACTCCCCACTCCAACATGGCTCATCCAGCACGTTTGTCACTACGTGCACCTCCTCATCTCCCCTTTGTCCAAGGCTACCCCGGCATCCCAGCTTCTTCCAACCCCGCCCGTCCGGCCCCAGCAGTACACGGTACTGTCGAACTTCGTTCCGGATCCCTACCCCTTAGAGCTAAATGGGTTCGAGTAGAGATTCGTAAATATGAAACACTTCCTCCTGGTTTCCCAACCTCTTCAACAACTTCACCAATGTGGGAACACGTAGGTGAGATTGTCACTCTTTGGCAACCTTCCGGTGATAAAGAATACGATACTTTGGAACCTACCGATTTCAAATTCTCAATTTCTCTTCCAGAAGATATACCACCAACTTGTGAAATGTTAAAAGGGACAGGAATCAAATATGAACTGGTAGCTGCTTTATGTTATCGAGAAAAAGGTGGTTTATTCAAAAAAGAAACTTCACCAATACTCAAGATTTCAGAACCTTTACGAATCATAAAACATGATTTACATTCTGCTTGGCCAATTTATAATTTACCTGATACTCGTATGGGAACTGCTTTAGGAGGACAATTAACTTTGATCGTTTCAAGACCAAGTACAGCTTTCGGTCCGACAGATAGAATTTTATTCACAACTACGTTGAAATCCACACATCCGAAACCTTTCAAATTCAAAGGATTCGAATGCACTTTACATGAGGTCACCACGGTCATACCTCCTCTTTCGCAAAATACGAGTAAGAGGAAGAGTAAGATACCTCCTCAGGGATTGAGCAGAAGTAGGATTGTTGCGTCTACTCGAGCGGCGGTGGACGAGTCAGTAGGAAGAGGAGGAGAGAAATCAGCTAGGGTAGATATGGCAGTCCCGGTGGATAAATTATTGTTGACGGTGAAAAATGCGAAAATCATGAGTATGTCGTATGAGCTTGAGGTGAAGGCTATATGTGATGGATTAGGAGAGGTGAAATGTGGGGGTATTATCTATACTGTAGGACCTTATGCCAGAGTTCAAGCTGAACAGGCAGTCAGGTGAGTGATGATATCCTTCAATTTTCATATTTTCCTCTCGTCAAATTAGTCTAACTAGTCGATGCTCATTAACAGAGACATTGGTCATTTTCCACCTCTGAGTATGGGAGTTTCATCAACCCCGGATCCCTCATCGCGACCTATATCACCAGGTTCGACACAATCTCAAATTCCCTCCGCATCCATCACCAGTAACTTCTCCCCTTCTTCATCTTTCTACGCCTCACAACCTCTTCAACCAACTTCTGACCATCTCTCTCCACCTACAAATTTCTACCCTTCAAAAATTCCTCAACCTCTTTATCCCAATCAACCTTCTTACCCACCGACCCAACAGTACTCCTCATCCCAAGCGTCATACTCTACCTCAAACACGTATCTCCCTACCACATCTTTCCCCGTTCAAAGTCCTTATCAACCTAATCAACCTTACCCACAACGACAAATTCAAGGTTTCATCCCACAAGATCGTCGGAAATCTTCTTCTACCATCACTTCCACAACTACCACCACACATGATATGGGTCCAGCCACCAGTGGACGACCATACTCTACTTTACCGGGTATGGGCGGGCGTCTGACTTTTCCCACTCCTTCACCGGCCCCGGCACTACAACGAAGTCCATCGGTACCTTATAGTATGAGTGAGGAAAGTGGAGGACATAGTATGTTGGAGAGCGTACAAGAGAGAGCGCAAAGTGATATGGGACATGGCTCCAGGGAGAACAGAGCGAGCGTTATGACGACTAGTACAAACGGCACGTTTGGAGTGTGGGAAGGTGGTGCGAAGGGGGTTTTGGAGAAGACAGCAGTTGCTCAGGTGAGTCATATCGTTCTTTCGACGTCCATCGACAAGAATGTTCAGTTTGGCAACGGTACGAATATATCACGTACTTTGCATATTGATAAGAACTGTCTACAGTTCAACAGTGGAAGAACAGTAGCTGACTGATCTATAGAACTCCCCTACCCGCCCAAATAGCACCAACCCTTCTCCTCGTCCATCCCCTGGACTATCTCGAGTTCCCCCTTCCTCCTGGCCTACAGCGGAACAAGAAAAACTCTCTCTGTACAGCTCCGCCCGGTCTCGTGCAGCAGTAACACAAGCCGCTTCTGGTGCCTCTCTTGACAAACTCGGTTTGTCCTCCTCCACCGATATGGATCATCCATCGGAGGTCGCTCCGCCAGAATATGCACCGCCAGTCCCGCCATCACCCCTAGTCCAACAAAATCCCTCTTCTGCTGGACCTTCCAACCCTGGTTCATCAGGTGGAACCAAACCTCCTCGTATGTCTGAAACGTACCTCTCAGCTGCAGAAGAGAAAGAACGTCAGAAGAAAGCGTACGAAACAGCCATGTCACGTGTTACCTCATCTTCTTTCTCTTCTTCTCCTACTTCGTCCCAGCAGTCACATAAACCCAACACCATTTCTCAAATTTCCCCCACAAAAGCCTCATCGTCAAATGTTCAACGAGCTCAAGACGTGCAAAGCAACGGCCACGAGGAATTGATACCTTATGATGCTATTCCCATCGCTGGTTCATCCACTTCCAACGGAATGTCAGGGAATATACCCGTCGCTGGGATGGTCGATGGATTAAGTGAGAAAGAACAGATGAGAAGGTATTATGAAGCTCGTGAAAAAGTTGAAAAAGCATCAAAAGGTACATCATCTAGTTTAGGTCATGGAGCTGAATCACCTCCCATCGCTTCTTCTTCCAAAATTGGTTCTGGAAGTCCTCCTAAGGCTAATGTGGAGGGACCTTATATAAAGGAAACAATACGATCGAATCAAACACCATCACAAAATGTCCGAGGAGGAAGTCAAGAGAACCAAAAACCTCAAGACGTTCGAGCATCTCAAGAATCAAACGTCAGTCAAGTGGTGCAGAGTGGGATGACAGGGATGAGCGAGAAAGAACAAATGAAAAGATATTATCAAGCTCTCGATAGAGTTAAACAAGTCGCTTCACCCGATACTCAGTTTTCCCCATCTACATCGGGATTCAATTCCCTACCTTCCAGCAATACTTTCGTCACTGCTACATCTAGCAATTCTTTAGGTACTGCTTCTTCCGCTATTTCATCTATACCGCCAACAATGTCCACCATACCCACTAGGGGAAATCTGGACGTCGTATCATCTTCGAATAATCAAGGTCAAACTTTAAGCTCGGGGTCATCTGTGGCAGGACCAAGTAAGACTTCAGTAGTAGGGAAAGGAACACCTTGGGCTTCAGCAGAGGAAGAGAAAGAAATGATGAGGAAAAGATATGAAACTGCTACGGCTGCTGTCAAACGTGTCGCTTCTCCACCTATTCAATCTCCTACTTTTCCATCATTTATTCCGGCTTTGTCGTCTTTTCAATCTTCACTGCCTGCTTCATCTTCTTTCCCAGCTTCACTTCCTGCTTCATCTTCTTTTCCATCCGCCGCCCCTGCTTCTTCTCCGTCCAAATCTTCCAATCAAGCTAAAATGATTAACACTGATAGTGGTGCTTCCCCAAAACGAACCGAGCTCATCACACATACTGGTGCATCACGGGAAGCTTTCGGTAACAACAAAGAAGGTCAACTTGATGGAAGATGGACGAGGGAAACGGAGGAGATACCACCACCTTTACCGGCTAGACCACCGAGGGAATATATCAATTTGTTATCACCATGATCATCTCATATCTTGAAGAGTATGTATTCTTGATTGTGATAATAATGCAGCCTCTCAACATACAGTATAAGCTGTATGTGTATGCATCCCTTCCGTTCCCCTAAAATCATCACTGATAACAAGCTCTTCATCCCTTGGATCACGATACATTACATTGTTGGTCATCATACCTCGGTCTCTACTGAGTGCTCAACGGCGTGGGTTGTTAGAAGAGTAATCATTATTTCCCCTTCCGTCACTTCTCCCCACACGTCTTATTGTTCTCTGAACCTTATTCAACGATACTCGGTTTCTATTCATTGAGTGGAATATCTTAAGTATACGATACATGTGAAGTTGATGCATGTTCTTTTCCCTCTGTTTGTAAACTAATATTCTCAATATGGGTGGAACTTTCGGCTCTCTGAGGGTCTGGAAGGAGGACTGTTCCCTACTCCAAAGCGTGCTCTTGTTATCTCCAGATTTCTGAGAACTTTTAATGAAGCGTTATCCCATGTGCAATCCTTTCTACTTGTTCTACATTTCTCACATTTCTCACCCTCTCTTCGAGTTGCTGCATCGCACAATGACTTCCTTGTTTTACAGTAGTCACATCTTGGTAAGTTTCTGCAGGGAGCCGCAATAGAATCTAATACTTCCTTCGACTGGAAACGAGGATGTTTGTTCTTTGTTTGCATTGACGGAACGTCACATAATACTATCTCCCGATTGAAAACTTCAGAGTTGGTCGTTGGTGAGTCAACCAATCCCTCTTCTGGCCCAATGTTTCGGGTGCTGTCCGGACCTTCACCTTGCCATATGGTGCTAGAAGTATGACTTTCATGATCATTTTGGCTGATTGTGGTAGGTTCAAATAGTTCTCTATACCAAGCAGACTTCAGAACTGAAGGTAGGACTCCCTCTTCCGAATCATGCCCCCCTCTGGTGCGTAGCATCTAGATTAGCAGATAAAAGTGAACGATTGTTTGATGAATCATCAACTTTTTCGTAGTTGTGATTCTTCCCAGATGAGGAATGAGAGGGAAGGGAGACATTGTCAGACTCGATACTCCGTGGGCCGGCCCTCAAGACAGGCAGGCTGGATTCATCCTTTATTGGCAACTTCAGGTGACCCAAGACATTCCAGAAGCTTCTGTCAGGACCAGACATTGATTGCACTGAGTTTGATGGATGAGATGAAGTATTAATGAGATGATTGAAGACAATTTGGAAGAAGGAGAAAAAGGGGTTATAAGGAGAGTTGGATTTTCTCTCCTCATCCTGGCCCTGCTGGTCTTCAAATGAGGACAAGGGATACATGAACATGATGATTCATAGGCCCATTTGCCTTCTTATGGGTTCTCAACTTTGCTGGGGAAGGGAAAGTGATTAGACCACATCTCGATGAGGGTAAGAGGAGGACGAGGGTCGACGAAACTGTTTCGTTCATTTATTTCAGTCATGATGGAGTCCGTGTCAGGATCACGGGTACATAGGATGGGTTCCTCAAAGTCTTCCTCTCATTGATCTTTCCCGTCTCCCCATCACCAATCCTGTCACGGGTCCTCCCCATTCTGCTTTTGCACCTAGTCGCTATTGCTGATTCTTCATCACATGATAGTTTTCCTACATTTCCGTGTCCCTCACCTATCTCCGTCTTACTTTGCTCTTCTACCTCATGCTATGTTTCATCTTTGCTCCATAGATTTTGGTATCACTCTGTTTCCTTTTTGCAACATAGAAACAGCCCAGTCGTAGATGTCTTATCAAATGTATTTTCTTGTCACTTAGCATGTCTTCTGCCACTGGGTCTCATTGACTATAGTATTTTCTATCTATTACATCACTACATCTGTTGTGTGCGGGGCGCTATACCCCTATAATCATCAAAGCGGACTATCTTCAATGTCTGGTCTCCGTACCCCTCAGGAGCTGCACAGACGTATTCAGACCTAGCGGAAAATGTCCCACTCAGGAACTGAATGCCCACGGAAAATTAATGTGTTACCTGCTTCCGGCATTTCCTGCATGTTACATTAAATGATACTGCATTGTACCCTTAGAATAAGTGCTGATTGCACTGCCAGAGGTGACATTCCGCTTGTTACTTGGGAAGACATGTTGTACACGTGATATCAAACCTGACAATCCGACACAGGCACAAGAAAACGGGATTCGTCGCACGGACTAATAATATGCTGCTGGCTGCTGATTTCTCCTATTTTACCTTCACCTACCGCTCATAACGCTCTTCCGCTCACCCGAGCTATCTGAATTGCCTCATAGATCCTATCTTCAAAAATATCTATAGGCTCATCACCTCATACCTAGGTTTCCTAAGCCGATTCCAGCCGCAAGGTACCAGCCAGTGTCAAGAATGATGTACATACTGTACAGTAGATGGTTTGCTCGGGCGTATTCCACAATCCAATCCCCTTTTGGTACATCTACGACATTTGAAGCTTTGATTTCCTTCAAGACTTTGAAGAATATCACAGCTGCCAAGATTTCCAAGCCGACATATATAGCATTTCCGGACTGTTCTAGAAGGCTCACAAGTCCTGCCGTTTTGGACACAAGGAGTGCATGACTCCCCATCATAAAGTAGCGCCCAATAACAAGGTATGCTCAGTGATACCCCAGCCTTCACACAGGTCGCACAACGCTCAAGTTTCCTTAGGTCGCACATAGTGTCATCAGCAATACATCCTTCACATGTGATTGAGCCAACTCTGACTTCACAGCTTAAACTGTTCTTGAACTGACAGCTCCAGCATCGATCTGCACCCAATGTACTGTACGTTTTACTATTGGAGGCATATTGATTGTCATTTGTTCTGACTGGATGATTTTTGTGTTATTCATAGACCCACCCTGCCTCACAGTGTAGGGTATGAATTCTTGGGAGCTAGTTGAGACATGGGTAGGGAGCTTGGCTGCCTTTTCATGCGCAGCTACTCGAGACATCAATTCGGGAAACGAAGGTAGAACTACTAGTTTCCCCAAGCCAACCTTAGGATCATCAGTCTCTTTCCGCTTCAACCAATCAAGTAAAAGACTATGAGGCAATGTTTCAACTCCCTCGTCGTTCTCATGTATCCGAGAAGTAGAAGGGGAAGGAAGGCCTCCGTGGTGGATGTTGCCTAGGGACACTGATGAGACGGGTACGGGTATTCCGGATTCGTTCGTTCCAAACAACCCCTCATTCTCGAAATCGTCCCGGAAATCTTCACTACTATTGATCGTTGGATGTAGATCTCTGGACATGGTGGAGTAGTGATGAGATGTTTGAACATTAGAAAGTCCTTTCATCATTTCTTCATCCTAAGCCTGCTTTCATGGTTCATCTTCAAGTGAAGACAAGGGATCCATGAGAATAAAGGATTGGAAGGCCCATTTGCCTTCTGGATTAATTTAAAACCTGGTTGAGAAAGAGGAACCAACTAGAAATAAGACCCCTGGATGAGAACAAAAGGAGGACAAGAGTTCACCGAGATCTATGATCCATTGTATATGACGGTGGTGGAGTGGGAAATGTGGTGAAAGCGGTATTGTTATCAGATCATTCGATTAAAGCGGCATCGTCTATGGTTTAACACCCGTTAGAAGTCTTGCCCCTTTGCGCTGCACTATATCTGGACACTATCATGATCATTTAGCAAGTTCTGAATCATTCACAACTCAAATTAAAGTGTTCTATGGATATTTTGGTTGTTTGGTAGAGTGATCGTGCTATGAAAAAATTCGTTGCCACAATTCACACGCAGATTAAAAGGTGCGCACGGACAACTTGCATGCTGCCTAGCCTTCTTTAACTTCTTCACCCACAACTCATAATTCCACTGACCCAATCAGGGTAGATTTCCTCGTCTCCCGTGCCTCGTGTCTGATCACTCACAGTCTCAGGCGATGCCAGACATAGTCGAAATCTGTTTTGATCTTCGACTTGGACGCAATCCACAATCCCAACCCTGTTGAGCACATGTAGTGCATTTGGAAGATTTATTGGTGCTCAGTTGTTTCCGTAGATTACAGCTGCCACTCCTCTTCCAAACTCGACAAACGTAACAAGAACTTGAACGATGAGAAGCTACACACTCAACACCCTTCTCAGAGCAATGGTTACAGGGTTCTCCTTCATATCGGCGGGCCCAATCACAAGGACCCAATGATATATCAAAGTCTCGGCTTGATGCGCAAGGCTCACAGCGGAGAGCATGCCTGGTTAAGCAAGGCAATCCCCTAGCTGTACAATCTACACATGAATCAAATCCTACCCTGGTGTCACAAATTTCGATTCCAGCATTATCACAAGCGAGGCATCGTTCTCGTGTAAATTTACGACTGACTATGGGGTGCGGATCAGCCATCAGATTGCCTGGACCGGAGGCCGATACAAATCTCTGACCCTGTTGGGAATAGTTCATCGGGGCGGATTGAGGCGCGAGTGGGCTGAAAGAAGGTCTGTTCACGAAGGTTCTTTCTGGCCCAATGGAAGAGGAAGGCAATCTGGTCTTGATGCGGGGGGCAGACACCGTAGTATCTTTCTTTTGGGTGGGGAGAGATATTGGGTCTGGCTCTGTTGGTAGATAACCAGTATCTTCCAAGTCTGTATACCTGTAAGTACCCTGTGAGATGATTCGTGGTTTCGATGACAGGGGCAACGTAGATGATCCAGAAGACTGCTTTGAAGGAGATAGTCTTTCCATTTGCCCCGTGGAGCCCGAGAGATCGGATAGAGGAGGTAACGGTAATTCATGTGAGGTGAGAAGGTATGACTCAGGTGATCTCCCAAAGAGTGTATCAAGCCATTTCTCCCTTCGGGCATCCGTCGCCGCAGAGTCGTCGATGCTTTCCAACTTTCTCTTATTAGACATGATTAGTGGTGAGGTTGATCAGCTAAGAATCTGTCTCTCAAAAGTAGGGTAAGTAGTTGGAACTGAATTTCAACGAATCGTATCCTTTCATCTGTTTTGAAAGAATTCCTATGGTTGGAAGCCCTCTTTTTATGCCCAAATGAAGAGAATCAGTTTCACAAATTAAATCCGCGCCTTCTTGATTGATTGACATGATGATGGCATGGAAAGGAGGGAATAGATGACTTTTTAGATTGAAAGAAGGCGAGGTATGGCATCATCACTGCTCTTTCCCATCAGCGTCCAAACTGAGTGATCTCACTAATTCCTCTTCCTGTCGGTCTAGACCTTGACTGGATTCCGGAAGTGATGATCAAAAATCACATAAAGGTCAAGGAATAACCAACATGCCGTATTGCATGCCGTACCAATCTACTCTCCACCCGTTACGTCTCAACCTCTTGATTACCGTCAAACCAATCTCCCTGATCCCAGATTGCCGTAGATTCCACACTGTGATTCGAGACTATCCAACCAGGCGGATACATGAGAATTGGTTTATCATCTTGATTTCTCTTCCATGTCTTCCATTCACTACTTTCCTTCCTTCTCTTTGCCCTACGTTCAACAGGTAATATCCAATCTTGCTCACAAGTTTTCCGACGGGTGATACACGTTCCACAAGGTCCTTCAAAATCCCTGATACATTTCCATTTCAACTTTACACAAGAAGAACAACGACTTGATCCTGTAGGTAAAGGTTTTCTTCCCCTTTTGAGTTTTACCGTGATCTCCGGTATGTTCACATTGGATGTTACTTGTTTCTTGAAATGGGATCCATGTCGCTTAGGTATCTCGGTAAGGACGATTCCAGATTCATCACGAATAATCGTTTTCAAGACATGTGTATGTTCTTCATATGTGGATTCTGCCCAAGTGTATGGAAGATATATAGGAGCAATCTTGATTGAGATCACCTTGGACATGTTCTCTTTCTCGCTTGGGTCTTTCCCACTTTCTTGGATAAAGGTCATTTTCTCAGTTTCGGCAACTTTCGTCGTTCTCGATTGGCGATCAACGGATGATTGACTAAATCCTGTCGTCTTGATCATAGGAGTTATGAAGGTGGAGATGTCCTCGGGATACTTACTGAGTTGAGTTATTGGGTTAAAAGTGTATTGGAAGGACGTTTCTTCGAAATTAACCCATGATTGTTCCGTTTCGGCCAAACGACCTGAGAAAGAACAAAGAAATTAGTCGATATCAGTCAATTCCATACTAATCCGGAGACGATGGTCAGTGTGTATAATTACTAATGTGACTATCGAAAAGTGGCGAGTTCTATCCGAATATGACCAGATTTCTCGCTCGAGAACAGGGCGAGAAACGGAGAGGGGAGTCATCTTCCGAAGGCGTTTGGTCCGATGACTACGGGACAAAATGCTTGTATCCCCTTTGTCATGGTGGAAGGTGAGGAGTAGAATCTGGTCGGAATTTGAAAAAATTGGCGAATGAGTAATTTGGAAGTTTTTGGAAGTCGTTTTGGTTATATGTGGACCGGAGCATGGTATGGAAGTGCCATGTTCCGCCCGTACGAGCCTTCTGATATTCCACATGACCAGTGCTTGGTCTACATACATTTCAGTCGGAATTCGTCGAGGTTGTCGAATTGGAGTCGTTTCAAGGTGGCGATCATGGATTTCTCTGGTAGGGTAGGTCTCGAATCATCACACTCATTTTCTCCAAGGACATATCCTCATCTCTCGGATCTCGGCGTTGAATAGGTATGTACAGTATCATCATACTTCGTAAATATCGTATGTATCGTACGAATCTCATGTCTCGTATGTTTTATGTATCGCGATAGTCCTCCGTCTTGACAATGTGATACAAAAACATAGGTAGTGACCTTATCATCATTTATCTCCTCATTTCACAAGGTGTTTCACCATGTTATGATGAATGAAGTATAGAAAACACATTCAACAGGGAACTACTACCTTCTGGCAACCATTCCTCCACTTTTCTGATTTGTTGTTCCTCAATGACAGTCGATGCTGAGAGGTAGATGAATTCTTCTTCGTCATGGTGACGAGGTGGATCTTGGGAATATGGGTATGTCAAGAGAACAGACTCCGAGACCAGGATTTTCATTCTTGTATTCGGTGCCAGATGTTGTCGTTTACGTGGAGTATGACGACATACAATTCCTGTCTGATAACATTGAACACAATGAATAGGTCGAATCGGTCCTAACCAGTAAGGCTTCTTTGTCGTCCAAACACTTTTTCGAGGGGGACGGAATGAAATTGCGGTAGATGAAGGTGACACGGGGGAGGATATGGAATCAGGTAAGATATCCTCGGGAGCTGGTGGCGGGGAAGACTCCTCAAACTGAGACCATTCTTCTTGTGGAGCAAAGGAAAAGGATTGTGAAGAGTGATCAGGAAGTATACAATCGCCAATACGGATGTCCGTAGGGTTGTCAAAAGGCCAGAGGTCTTTTCCTACAAGGAGCGGAGCATCATGATTATCATTTGATATCCCATAGATCGGAGCGACAGGATATGGCGGTTGGTAAGATCCATTCCAGATCTCATTGATAAGTCCTGTCGTACCGTATTCCGACTGCTGGTCGTCGAACTGATGTTGGTTGATGATCCCTTCATTCGTGTCAGGATAATTCGAGACAACATACTGAGTATTTGAGTAGATCTCCTCACTCCCTCCATTCGTGTCAAAATAAGTCATTCCATCGTTCTGCGTATTTGAGCAGATGTCCTCAATCCCTTCGTTCGTGTCGGGATAAGTCTGTTCAACAAACTGCGCATGGGAATAGAATTCCAGGACGATATCCATCTCAGAGATGGAGAGTTCCATCATAGGCAACTTGTTGCCAAAAGGGACCATAGTGTCGATTGAGTGCCATGTGGTCATGTCGATAAGAGGACCTCTCGAACGATATGGGTGGTGTCAAAGCAAGAACGAGCGTTGTGAGGTGTTGTTCGCTTGACAAACAGGATTTCGTCGAGTTTGAAGCCTGACGAGTATATAAAATCCTCGGTAGAAGTGAAGAGAAGATTTGTCGAGAGTAAGATAAGAAGGGGGATCATTTTGGCCCCAAACGACTTCGGAGTAAAATATTGCCCTTCCGACGATATCAAAGCGGTAAGTTTGCACGCACAGCATTTCTATATTCGAAGTCCGACTCACGACGATCATGTCATGATCCGGTAACCTGTTCACCAGTAGTAGGAAGTCAGTCGATACGAAGCTCACCAATGTCCTTCTAATACGTAGATCAAAAATTCTTCTGCATACTTACGATAGATATTTCTCCACGATTTGTTCTCGGGCCTTCCTCGCCGCTCCTCGTTCCACACTATCCTTCAGAATCGTCCCCAGCTTCCGTATTTCATCCCTCATTTCGGTCCACTGATCCCCTCGTACGGCTGTAAATGCCTCTCGCATTTCACGTTTGATATCTTCCGGATCTTCGGTGACGATACCACCCGAAGCGAGTTGAAGACCTTTCATACCCGAGTTGACTTGGTGGAGTCGAACTCCGCAATGAGACATTTGCGTGACTGTGACTTTAGCTTTAATCCCGAAAGATGAGATCGGAGTACCAGTAGACGCGGGTAATTATCGATGGTGCGTGAAGGGTTAGTTGAATATGTGACGTACGTTGAGCAGCCCAGAGTACTTGATCGCCTGTGAAAGGCCAAGCGACTATCGGAATTTCCGCTTGGATGGCCTCTACGGTTGATCCCGATCCACAGTGAGTCTATCAGTCAGTACATCTCCACGATACCACGAATGTCCCAACTGGGTTGATCAATGACCAGATCGGTGTCGGGTTGACGGGGAATGAGTATTCATGGAGAACTCACCAGGAAAAAATGGATTGATTCATGTTGCAACACGGTCAATTGAGGTGCCCACTTCACTATCATACCCCTCCCACTTTCTTCCACTTTCTTTATTAAATGGTCCGGCCAAGAGGCCAGTGCTGAAGCTGCGGCGAACAAGAATGGTAATGGCGGTTCAGCTTCAATAAGTGTTTCAACCAGACATTCCAATAGCTCAGGTCGAGTGGAAGGCCACATGAGACTTCCAAAGCTTTTCGTCAACTTTTACCTGCATTGTACCGGTGAAGTGCTTACCTAACGAAACATGCACTACGTGAACCGTACTCCTTCTGCATCCCGTCAAGGAATTTCACCACTCGTCTTTCGTCGGATGTATAAGAAGTGCGAACTTTGGGATTATTTGCTTGCCAAATTTCGATATCTAGATGGGGTCTGATTATTAGACATTTACCAATCGACTCAAGCAGATGAAGTAGGACAATGGTTGTGGGAGGTTTGGTCAGATGGGTAAACTTACCCAACGGGATATAATGGGATTTTCAATGATTTCTTCAATTGTCCTTCTGACCAACCTTCTAATTCTGAAATCCCAAAAGTCATATAACCATCTGAATCATCCCTCGCCGCGAACATTGCTGGCCATTTGTACAGGAGGGAAATGGGGAATGGCATGCACACATTTTGCGGATCTTTCCGTCAACCTACGTCCATTCCTCCATACAGAATTGACCTACAATACTCATCTGACCATCAGCACGTCATTCCATTCAAATCTTACTGTCAAACATGATCGAAACACATAGAGAATAATGATCTTGAAGGAAGGGATGTATAGAGATGAACTTACAATCATACATCGGTGGAAGATCAGGAGGTGTTATTAATTTCCCCTGAGCATTCCTCAAAGCCTCATACATTAGCATTCTTTCAATCTTGCCCCTCAGTCTAAGGAGGATAAGTGGATATGATTTTCCTCGCACCTTTATACCTGCATCATTGATCGACAAACCTTCCGCTCGAGCATCTTCGTATCTTTTCATGATACCATCCCAATGACCTCCATGTTCTGCACTTGCTGTCATCCTATACATCAGCTTCTCTCAAACAACTAGAGATAGACAGAAGGATTCAAGTACTGACCTCATCATGGGCGAGGTAGGAACGGGTGCTAAGTACAAACAAGGAATGTATGGTTGGTTGAGATGATCCGTCAATTCTCTGACTACTTTGGGAAGAGAATATGGCCAAAGTTGGTAATCCTACGCTGTCAATGAACTTTCAGAAATCAAGAGGGAGTAACAAAGGCATAAATACAGAGAGTAGTGATTCCCGTGCATGTATGATGATCCAAGTTGTGAAATAGCACAACGGTACTTAGAGTAGTCGAAATTAAGGGGAGTCGGTGACCAACATGACAGGTCAAAACTGAATTGACGAAACACCTCTGTTACTTACATCATATATGATCAAATTAGGATATCCCCATTCCTCTCCTTTTTCACCTTTCATCATCAACCCCTTTAAAACATCTTCGAACCCAACACGTAATTTCAACCCCGGTCGAAGAGGATCATCTTCCTCTCTAACTTCTCCGATAATATCAACAGTCCGTATCCTTCTTTTCTTTTCCGAAGTCAGATGATGTTGTCTTGAAAGCTCTTCGTGAACTCTTGGAGAAGCAGATGAATAACATAAAAAAGTGAGATAACAATTAGGAGCGAGATGTAAGAGGGATATACCTATTTGAAGACATGATCTGACGTGACCCCTGGATGTCAGCTCGTCAATCGGGGACCTGTCAGCTGGAGGGAGCCCTCGGGAGAACGAAGAGGGTGGAGAGGAAAAAAAAGGAAATCACCAAGTCGCTTGGGGTATGAGTAGGAGATGAGTAGGTTTATGAGACATGTTGATTGAGTGGATGGATTATGATGATGAAGGTTATCGTCATTATTCAAGTAAGTTAAGTAGAGTAAGGACAAACGGACGTGACTGATTTCTTTTTCTTCTCAACTTTCGACAAAGTAACTCCTCTCATACACTTCTGTCTGCTTCGGAACTAGAGTACTCTACTTTACTGCTTAACATATACCATTCAAGAGCTCTTTCATATATCCACCGGACTAGTCTTCATGACTTGCATTGACACACAAGTTGACAGATAGGTAGAAAACTGCTCGGCTTTCAACATGTCATTTCAACTAAGTACCACACTACGAATAGAGTAGAGTAGAGTAGAGTAGAGTAATCGTAACCTTTTTTACTTACTTCCAAGGTTATCAACCTTCCATCAACTAATCCCTCGACAAGTGTAGTCCAATGTAAATCCCCATGTCACTCTCTGATATAAAGTTGTATGCTTATTGATATGAAACTGATCCTCAGTTCCTCATCAGGAATCGTTCGTAGCTTCATTATCACTTTTCCCATGACCCTTTTCCCCATCAGCCAACATCTTTGCCGATTTCTTTTTCCTGTGGAAATAATACCAAATCCCAACTGCGGCGGTTACCACAGTCACAGAAACCGCAATTCCTAAGAATCAGTCATATACCTCATAAGATCCCTGAGTTATGGAACAGGAACAGGTGAGAGAGATGAGTATTCCGTTCACCACCCACACCTTCCGTTTGGTCAACGGGTAGAGGGGAGTTCGGAAGGGGCAACAATCTCGGTAGGAGGTAAGAGAGATAAAGGGAGGAAAGTCAAGATGAAAAAGAAAAGTGGGATATTAAAATACTTACCGGCTGCTATAGCTCCACTATGAGAACTACCATTATTATTACTCCCTTGATTGGAAGTTGCCATAGCTGGTGATGTCCCTGTTGTGGTGGTATGACCGAATAAGCCCATTTTTTATTTGTTTTCGAATTGTGTTTTCTAATCATCAGTCAAACTTATCTTGATTAATCTCTAAATCACATCTTCGGTTTCCGTAATCAAACACTTGTCCTTGGTCCATCCAAACTTCTACAATCTATTCAGATGAGAGACCAAAATTATCCCCGAGTGGTCATCATTCCCATGCTTCTTTCGGTCGTCGTCTCGTCCCTGGCTCAGGACAAAACCAACCTCAACAGCTTCACTTCCTTCTTCTCTTTCTTTCTTAATTCAGGACAGGACGACTTTCACTTCAGGTTCAATATCATCACTTGGTATTCCATGAGAGGGGTAAAGACCTATATTAACTCACTCTCTTTCTTTCTTCAACCGGAAACTATTCAATTATTCCAAGATCCACTCTTGTTTCCAACACTCAAACTTCAATATGTACGTATACGATCTCTGAACCAGTCCGACTGAATCAAATGATGATAATGTATCAAAAACAAGGAACAACGAGATGACATCAAAATCATGTATGGTGTTAAGTATCCGACGAGTAGTAGGAAAAAAAAAAACATGGAGATCAATGTCAAAGGTGGTTGAAAGTTGAATGGATGTATTGAACCAAATTCAAAGACGTACCGTACTGAATAGAAACTTTCCATTTTCAATCCTTTGATGAATATAAGTTTCATCCTTATTTCCTATTGGTTCCCTTACCCGAACACATTCGGTGGATCGGTGTAGAGGCGTAGACGAAGAGGGGAAGTATGTTTCATACGGTTTCGAAGTGTCGACATTGGTTTCGGCAACTCTTTTCATTATTTCAGACAAAATCCAGATTTGCTCAACTCGACATGTTATATTGGAGGAAAGGATCAACTGGAATCATTTTGATATATATGGAAGAAAGGAACATGAGACATACTGGTTAAAGTATTCAACAACTAGCAGAAACAGAAGAAACAATAAAAATAGATTTCTTAGGTTTTTTTTTGACTTTTTATCTGAGAAGTATCAAGTTCTGATATGGACAAGATGAGAAGAACGGTTGAATTCTAAATTACATCCTTGATTTTAGCGATATTGAAAACTTTTAATAAACCCGCGAGCAGCTGGCGGTCAGATGGATGGATATGTGACAAGGTAGACTAGCTACCTCAGCTTGAGGAATGACCCAAAGATAATCTTGATATGTAATGTGTAAGTGAATTAATCTCTGATATAAAACCTAACCCTAACATGTACTACTGTTTCGGTATCTCAATACAGGGGTTGGAACATGTAAGAGATCATAACGAACATCCTACTCACCGATGTTCACATAATTCTCACGCTCCCTTTGACTCATCCCCTTCACCCGAGTTTACACACCTTGTCCCCGGTGAACTCGAAAAAGGTATATCAAGGGTTATCACTTTCAACTCTTCAAAGTTGACTTTTCCCTAGACAATTGTCGAACTTTCCCTATAATACATTATATATCCAACTGCTCTTGCCAAACAGTGGTTGTAGTTTATTCGAATAACAGTATTCAGACGGGTAATTTCGTCAAATGCCGTCTATTGTTTTGATTCGAGATGTCGTCAGTGATGATGGAAGTAAGTGGTCATCGGGGGAACGAGCAGGTCAGTTGTTTTTTTCTTTTCCTTTCCTTTCTTTTACTTTCTTCGTGCGTCTCTTGTTCTTTATGATCATACTTTCTACACTCTTCCTTAACTCACATTCTTCACATTTGCATGTCATCATGTATCGCACTCAGAAGCTGATCTGACAACCTTGCGTTGGATTTAACCAAGAAATGAGATGGACATTTCTTTGGTCAAGGGGTAATATGACTTCACTGGGGATAATCAAATATGGTTAGAAGTCATAGAGATATTGACGTGAACAGGATTAAGTATCATAATCATTCTCATCGTCCTCATTCTACTCGCCTGGACGACATATTGGTTCTTTCCTCATCATTGTTTCCCTAATTGGCAATATGAACATACTGAATGTACTGCTTGTTCACAAAAGATGGGAAGGACAGTAGAGAGGATGTACGTGGGTAGAATATGGGGAAGAAAAAGATGGAGACATCTTGCCTGTCCTAGATCTGATAAATGATTGAAATACCATCCCAAGATGTTGTATTAGTGTGAAAAATGTCAGTTTATATTCACACAGCACGACTATCTGACGAGAATAAGTATTAAGAGAGAATCGAGAGTGAAAGGTAAACGCGAAGTCGAGAATTGATAACCGAACATATTGTTGATCGGGGATTAGATTCGTCAGGTGTGCTATACTTGGAATTGAGTTCACAGATTGCGACAACTATATTTGATTGATGATACAATTCAATTCACGGTCTTCTCATCATTTGTTGTAATTCGATAGCTTTCGGTATATCAGCTTTTATATGATGTATCTCGGTAGAGTTGATAGCTTCTTGAATATGTCCAAGAGATGTAGCTCCGCATAAAGGGGTTATACCCCATCTGAATGTCAGTCTTAGGTTTTCCGGGATAATCCAAAATCCAGCCTGTTGATAGACCAAATGTTTATGGCTAGAACAGGCAGTTGAGATGGTAGGTCAACCTTTCAAGATGGGGGGGGGGGGGGGGGGGGGGGG